CGCCCGCGCCAGGCGGAGCTTGTGGTCTTGTGGGAGGGTCGGGGCGGCTCGGGGGAGGGGGTTGTTCATAATTTTACCTCAGGTTTTTCTTTTTTTCCCCTCCTGCAAAAGAAGCGCCGTCGCTGTTGGGCAGAGGAGTGTTTCTTCTGGGCAAAGGCAGGGCCTGGGTGCACCACTGCAGGCAGCAGGGACCCCAGCGCCCCGAAAGCCGTGCAAGCCCCCTCAGCACCCTTTAATGCTCATTTTTGGCTCTACATCCTCTAAATATCTTAAATTAATCTTTCTCTGAGCAAACACATTTTTTAATATATCTCCTTGTGAGGTGCAAGGGATTTGTGGTCCGTTTTGGTAGAACGTGCTGTGTTTGCGCTGCTCCCGTGGAGGAGGACCCTACTGCCAGCACACTGGGTGCCTATCACTCTGTTTCTATTTTCAATTTTGTTTTAATTCTTTCCATTTTGGCAGGGTGAGTCCCAGGAGCTTTACCAAGAGGATGCTGTGCTGCTTCTGAAGCTTGAATAAGCAGGCACGTATGACTCTGCTTGCTTTAGGGCTGTGATGTGTCCGGCAGCGCTGCGTGTGACCATTCGGGTTCCAAGGGAGAGGAGGCATCACACAGCCCTTCTCTCTCTCCCAAAACACCTGCATCTGTGATGCCTCATGGAAAATTGCCCCTGCGATGTGCAGCTTTTCTGCTTTGAGACACTGCCTTGTGTTAGTCAGTGTTTTTAACAGCAATATCTAGCTCCAATCTGGCGTTTGTCATTAGTAAATCACTTCACGCAGGAGTCCTGTATCATGTTGAGTGCATGAGGAAACTTGCTTTTCTGAAAATGATTAATATTTGGTGTTTCCTCAACAACCATTCATCTTCCCATGTTCCTTTTCTGCTATGCTTGGTGAAGAAAAAAAACCTGTCAGATCCTGTAACCACATCTGAAAGGCAATAATCTTTTGAAATGTAAATAAGTATAAATTGATTTGTAGATACTTTTTGCTTTTTTTTTTAAAGTAACTACATTTTTGTTTTGTCTTCTATGTTTGAAATGTGGCACTCTTTAGAAGCATGTCTGTGTTGGAAAGTGTCCTGTAGATGCGGTTTCAGCTCTGTGCACCCCGCAGGACAGTTGTACTCTGTGGTGTTGACTGCTCCCCTCTTGCCCCGTGCCCCCTTTCCAGCTTCTGACTGTGTTGGAAATGCGGGCTTGCTCCATCCTCTACAAATGCCTGTGTTCTGCAAAAGGATTCTGAGCATGCAGCTATGGGGAGAAGCAGCCCTCCTCACGGGGTGGCACACCTGTGTTGTTCCTGGGGTATAAAGAGCTGTCTCGTAACACTCTGTCTTCCTCACAGCCAGGATCCTGCTATCTGGCACAACACTTTTGTTTTGTAGAAGTTTAGTCTGCTTAAAATAATGTTTTCTAGTCCACAGCTATTTGCTATTTGTTTCTCACTCAAGTCAAACACCCGTTGACTTTACTGCAAGCTGGATCCTCATGTATCTTGAAAAATGTACTCTGTAGCTATATTGTATTTATTTAAAAGTCCCCGAAAAACGGCGCTCTCAATTTTTTTTTTGTAATATGCTTTTTACATTGCTTTTCTGCTATCTTTCTTTGCAGCTTCTCCAATCTGAATTCCATGATGAAACAGTTGTCAGCAGAAACTATTCGTCTCCTTTCAAGCTCTCAGGTGATTACATCAGTTGTCAGCGTAGTGAAGGAGCTCATAGAGAATTCCTTGGATGCCAGTGCCACAAGTATTGATGTTAAACTGGTATGTCCTCTCTCTTTTACTTATTACAGAAATTAGATATCAAATAAGATGTGGGGAAAATTGTTGCACTGTCTGTGTATTTTTTAGGGTGCAGTAGTTCTATGGAGGGATTTGATATCACTTGTACATATGTATTAACCTCAAATAAAAGTGGTCCAAGATCAAGCCCCTTAAAAATTTTTGAGGCTGGATCTGTAAGGCATGTTTGTGCTGAATGCATTTTCAGGAAAAAAATGCTATTTTCTTCTCTTGCAGTATACTTTTTTTTTTTCCCTGAATAATAGTTTTAAAAGATGTTGGACTTCTGTTTCACTGCTAGACCGGTATAACTGGTTCTCACAATAATATATTGGTAAGAAGATGAAAATGGAAACTGTGGAAAAGGTTTATGATATCCATGCTCAACATTTTTATAATACAAATCATCATATGCTCCCTAATCAACATGATGTACTCTGGCTGCTATTAGCATTTAATTTTTGTAAGCTTAAGGATGGTTTCTGAAACAAGAAAATACTGGCTATGATTAAAAGATGTGCTCTTCTCCCAAATTTGGAAAATAATAAATTGATTGGTTTCTCTTTCTGCCGTTAGTATTTTTGTTTTTGCAGTATTTGGTCAACAACTGCATAATAATGTAATCTCCCACTAGGAAGAAATTGTGTTGTTACAATGTGTGTAAACAGGTGTATCCAGAAATGCAGTTCATTTTTTTTTTCTGCAAGTGGCAGTGAATGTACGAGCTCTTCTTGAGTAACCAATCAAAAAAGTAAATGTTAGACAATAATTTAATACTTCTAATTAATAGAGCAGTATAATTTCCCTTTGTGGCTTGGATGCAGGGATAGGAACAAGCATCACTGCTGCCTTTCCTGGGTGAGTCTCAAGCAGCTTCTCCCTGAGTGTAGTTTCCTGAGGCTGCTGAGGAAGATGCTTATTTGTTCTTTGCCTTATCTGAACAGAAGGTACTGGTCTTCACAATGATCTGTGATGGCCTGTGTCTTCCCAATACTTACATGGTGTAATGTCTTGCTCCATGAGTAACTCTAAAGTGAGTAGTATATGTATAGTTTGGGGGATAAAAATACCAGAAACTGATTTTGCCCACTGCTTTGTAGTTGATGGAAAGCCACAGAAGGTTTTGAAGCCTTCAGTAATTGTTGGAAGAGAGCTTATGTCTTTTACTGGGGTGACAATACAGAACCTTACTGAATTCTGCACAGTGTGGCTCTCGCTGTGCAGTAATGGCTCTTTCTGTAGTGAGAAGACCCAAATCAACTGAAGAGCCATTTCAACCAGAATCCTTAGCGTAAGTCATACACACTAATGTTACTCCTTGTCAGTTCAACCTGTCCAGATGGCTTCATTTCTATAACAAATAAATGCTATGTTACTTGACTTGACTCCTTTTGCCAATTACTAAATGAGATTTGCTGATTATTATTTGCTGTGTGCTGAGTTACGGAAGAAAACCTGCAACACACAGGTGCACCAAATATCCATTTCTCCTGCAGCCAAAGCAGGAGAGGAGGGGAAAAAAAAAGCCTCAAAATTTTGGAGAGCATTTAGAAAAAATACATATTTTTCAGTTATAAGTCACTGACTTTAAAGAATGTGAGGTTGCATTTGTGATTTGAAAAAATCAATGCCAAACAGGTAAGAAAGGTGAAAAAGAACGAATAGTCTTTAGTTTTTCTGCCATACATTTTTTGTAAGGTACAAAATAGGTAAATAAATAAAGTACTTCCACAAACATAAACTGGGTAAAACTGAAAACTGGAATTTTGTGTTGTTTCCAGCCAACAGGGTATAAATTACATAATTTGAGCGACCATCACTACAATCTTTATGTGTTTGTGTGGGTGTACACACACATGACGATATATATTCATTTTACTGAGATTTTTTGTTGTTGTTCAATTTATTCAAGTAAGCAAAAATCTCCCTTCTGTGTTGATGGCTACATGCTGGGTCCTCAGCTGTTTAAAGCTTGTATCCTAATTCATTTGGGTTGTTATTTTAGTTATTGGTATGTTTGTTTGTTTTTTCCCTTTTAGGAGAACTATGGGTTTGACAAAGTAGAAGTGAGAGACAATGGCAACGGAATCAAGGTTGCTGATGTTCCCGTTATGGCAGTTAAACATTACACCTCAAAAATAAGCTCTTCTGAGGACCTTGAAAACTTGACGACGTATGGTTTCCGTGGGGAAGCTTTGGGATCAATTTGCTCTATATCAGAGGTGAGTAGTTACTGTAAATGTGTCAGACCTATCGGAAAGGACATTTGGTGAGTGTGGTTGAGTTTGCTGTTTGAATTAAGCTGTATCAGCATAAGAAAGTAGAGGAGATGGTGGGCAGAAGTCACTTCAGATGGCTGTCCCTTCAGAGAACTAATGGTCCACGTAGCTCCAGTTTCAGTGAGGATTTCTGCCTTGATGTTATCAAGGTGATCAGCAGTCACGGGATCTTGCTGGGCTCCATATTGCTCCTTGGCAAGTATGTATGTATGTAACTGCTGTTACATAAACATATTGTTCTCCCTAGGAGTAAACAGGAACCTGCTTCTCAGTCTCATCTTTATGTTGGTGTTAACAGGACTGACTGTGTCACTGTTGGACACTTAGGAATTCACTTACTGACCTTTGCATTGGTTCAAAAGTGACTTAAAAGATGATCAAACTGTTAAGGGCGCAGCATCTATGTGCTCTGCTTTTCGGTCCCCTTACTGCAACACAGCCAGATTTTGTGTTCTATGGGTGGGAGCACTCAGCTCTGTGCTACCCTGGGCTCTGTTTGCATTGCTCTAAGCAGGACTGGGCTGTGTGTTTGGATGAAGGATTCCAAAGAAAGATGTTTCCAGAAGTATTGGTGTTTTGACAGATGACGACAGACCTCGATCACAGGCTCGTTTTGATGTGTTGAG